TCTCTGGAAAGCTTGCCAATTATTGTTGAAGAGTAAAGCAGAAAAAAATAACATTCGTTTCCTTGAAAGGATGTACCAAAGCTTCGTGGTCTTGCTCTTACATTAGCTGTCGTCCTGCTCTTGCAGGTTTTTGCTGCTGCCCCACTGTTACCACAGCCAAGCGAGAAAATGGACCCAGTATTCCTATTTCAGTAACTGCCAGGATCTCTAGTTGGTATTTGTCCTTAGATGCTGCAGAAATGCAGAGAGTTGTGACCCTTGTTTTAGCACCACAGAGCACAACTGTGATCCATCGTGGCTGAATTTCTGATTCAGACAAGCTACCGCATGTTAGGAAGACACTGTGAAGTAAATGTAGCCCTGCAGCAGCAAGAGCAGCCTTTTCCTCCTATTTTCTGTCTCCTCTCCCAGTTGCTCTGCACTAGTTTCTCTTTAGTCCTCTGTTTGAAATGGGCGTTAATACACTGACTGTCAAGTCTGGGGTTTGTTTATTTTAGTTTCTTCTCATGAACCTCTTCAGCACTCTTAAGCTCTCATAGCTTTGGACTTTGCTTTGAACAAATCCAGATGCCACTAGGCTGGAATTGCCTCTGTCAGTGACACTCAGAGGATAAAGTGCAGACTTTAAGGCTACATTAGAGGTCAACTATTGCTGTGTATTTATTGTAGAGCTTGAATATGTGTTTAATTTTTTGTGAACAGATTGGTGAATCTTCTGCATCTGTTTCTCTGGCCCAGCTTATTCAGGTACACATATTCTTGTCAAATACTTATAGTGTGATCTATACCTGGATAACTGTAGTAATGTCAACAAAATTTAATTTTTAATAATTTAAAGCATTTGGTTTTGATTTAAAAAGTGTGCGTATTTTAATACTATCACGTAAAGAGTAGATCTCACTTCGGAAAGATAGAAGGGGAGGACTTTATCAGCCCCAGGGTAGTGCTGCAGTATTACTCATCTCCAAGACACAAAGAAGCAGCACTTCGGGAGTTGTAGCACAATTGCACAGAAGAATTTAATTGACTGTAAGTTACGGACATTTCATGGGAGTTTGCAACAGCCAAAGTCAAAGTGTTTCTGCAGCACGGACAATTGTATGGCTATTTTTGAATTTCTAGTCACTATATTTACAGATCCATTCTTGGACTGCTGCACAGTGTCACCTCTTAGCAGCTGTGACCTTCTGAAACTGTTGCAATACCATGTTTTGCTCTGGAACTGCTTGCTTTTTTCGCTCCAGCGTGGTAACCTTGTCTGGGAAAGCACTAGGGGATACCTTTGCTGAAAAGGTGTAGTGCTTGCCAGTTAAATTACCGGTCTTTAAAGCAACAAAGATTAGAGCAGGCAGGGCCTAATGCTAGTTCTTTCTTCTGTTAATTTCCGAGAAAGAGAAGCCTCTTCCCACTGGTAACTTCTTCCCTTTCTCGCTGCACAAATTAAATTGGGAAAAAAAATTAGTTTGGAAGGTAGCCACCAAAAGAAACTGCTCTCTGTTTGTGGTGTCCCTAGACATGTCCTTAGCTCAGGTGAAGTTTTACTCTAAATTGTGAAAACCTGTCCAAGTGGCATACACATTTAAGCTTTCAAGGAAATTTTAGTATTTCAGAAAAATACAGGAACATAACGTAAAGCAGCTCAAAACTGTTACTTCAGCCTCTTTAGTACAGACTGGCTTAGCATGGACGCAATGTGTTGGATATTTTTTCCTGTTTTACTATTACTATGTATTGAATGTCATATTTGAATTTTAGTGTATTCCTAGTAATGCTGTGTGGCTTTTGGGTGTGTTTTGTAAACTGTTTCAGTTCAAACAGATTAGTCCAGTATCTGTAAAGTTTTCTGTAAAATGTTAGTGGAAATGATTTCACGGATGTTGATCTGGGTTGTGTCACTGTTGAGAAAGAACTGTGCGAAACAACCATTTAATAAAATATTGAAAGTAGTTGGTTGTTTTCCTGCATGAATGCTTATAAAACCAACAACCGTGAGTGGCTGATCTAAACGAGAGGTGCTCGAAGGTCCGGGTCATTTACAGTCGTTTCCTTAGACCCTTCTTGTACCTGGACTAGTGTGAAATAAAAACGTTTACACAAATACTGCTTGGAAAAAAAATCAACTGGCTTCAGTAATTTGAAGATCTAGTTCTGCATAAGGTTTATTTTACACCTTGTGTGCGGAAAGGACACGGTCACCTGGAAAAACCTGCAGATTGGGCTTCCTGTGTCCCAGCTCTTCTGTTGTGTGTCTTATGTTGTGGGATGCAAAATGTAAATAATGTTATTTGCATATATCTTTCTCAGTAAATGGATATCTGCTTCACAGAGCCTGGAGCTTAAAAATCGGTTAAAAGTAATGGACAGTAGCATTCTTTCTACACATAACTTCATGCCACTTGGAAGAAAATTGGGTTGGTTACACAAGTCTTGAACAGAGCCCAAGGTTTTGAGTGCCCAAGAATCCTCTTTTCAAGTAGATGAACAGACACATCATGCAAGGGCGTCAGCACCCCCTGGAACCCGTTCACGACAACTGTACTTAATATGAGCAGCTGGTGTTTTGCAGCCTCAGCGATGTTGTGCTGCTCTGTACAGGACTGAGAGAGCAGCACTGTTTGGTCGTGTGCACTTAAATGTGTTTCTAATGTGTGTGCAAATATTACCTGTTAAACAGACTGCTGACCTGACCCAAGTCAATGCTTCCGAAGAAGATAAAATAAAAGCTGTGATGATACAGTCTTGCCTTCAGTATGACCCAATCAAGTAAGTGTGGACAATGCCAAATCTGTTCTTTGAAGGTTATGGACTAATTGTAGAGAAGTTCGTTTTAAAAAGAGAGACACATGCACAACTTTTTTCTTTTTTTTGCCAAAACACTTGTAGTTACATGAAGAAACTTCCAGAATCCTACACTTGTTTTCATTGTGGACAGCCTGGCCCCCATATAAGGAACTGCCCAACAGTTGGGGTGAGTGTGAGGGGTTTCCAGTGTTACTTGATTTTTTTTACCTTGTCAGTTATGTGAGAAGCACATGAACATGCACATTAAGGATTGTTTCTCTTGGGGTGAAATAAAGAAGTTACATGGCAGTGTTGCAAAACCCTTCAAAATTCAAGGGAAGCCTGGAATTATAAATGTAATATTTTCTTTTTTTCTAGGTCACAGACATTGCATGTATCTTTATCTGTGAACTTCCATGCAGCTTTTTATGTATTTCAGTATTATTGGAAACTTTTCTGGTTTTATCTCTTTCTAATGACAGTTCATAGTTTTGAGCATTTTGTATAAACTCAAGATGTTTCTGTTGACCCTGTCTACTGAATATTTGAGTGCTTTAACTGCACAAGTCTGTGGTGGAGTGTTCCTGCCGTTTAACATTAGCCACTGAATATAGATGCATGAGGTATGAATTCAACCTTAGTGTGTAGACAGGGAATATAAGTTTCCCCAGTGACTGATTCAGAGCCCCGAATTAAGCTTTCCCTCGGAGCTGGGCTTCGGAGGGTGTGTGGGTTTGTGTCTCTTCTCTGAATGGATGGTGAGCAAAGGGATATTTCACCCTTAAGGAACCCAGCCTTAAGCTGAAGGATGTTGACTGAGTTCAAAACACAGCTCAAGCCTTTGCAACATCCTGGCTATATTCATTTAGGAAAAAGAAATATTTTCACTGGGCAACTTTTATGCCAGGCAAAAGGAGAGGAAAAGGCATTTCCTGCTTAAAATAACAGTTTAAATGTAATTTAAGGCTTAAGATTAGCTCTGTCTGCATTTGTTTTCTCAACAGGACAGAAATTTTGAGCCTGTTCCCAGAATTAAGGAGAGCACAGGAATTCCAAGAAGTTTCCTGACGGAGGTGGAGGATCCCAGTACAAAGGGTGCTATGGTGACACAGACTGGCACCTGCGCAATCCCAGTTATTAATGCGTAAGTGTGGAACTGACTGGACTGACCAAAAAGTGAACGAGAGAAACCACGGCCCAATGCCCAGGTGGCAATGCAACCGCATTGGCCAGCATCTGTAATTATGGGCCATGAAGCACTGTCGTTGTATCTTTACTTAAAAATCTGTGACACTTTCTAACGCTAAAATAGGGTGTTCCTACTGCTCGTGCCCTGGGAGGTTGTTTAAACTTACAGTGTGCCAAGTGTCATTGTAGAGACGGACACGACACAACTGAATGGTATTAGAATGGCTCAAAAATGGCTCCTTTATTACGGAAAGGGTGTGCCTTTTATACATAGTCGAAGGTACTAGAAGAAGGTAGCGTGGCCTTTGCTTGTAGGTCAAACACTTGTTTTTCACATTCTAATTGGGTAACAATTAGCAGCTTCTGGCTGGGCTCATCCCCCCGGATGTTGAGGGAGAAAGTTCCGCAAACGTGTCCAAACTCAGTGCACACAACTTCCCATCTTAAGGGTACACTGGGAATTTGTCAAGGTCAATGTCTTCAACCAATGCCAGGTTACCAGCAGTCCAGCTGCCGTCCCCCACAGCCAAGAACCTGTATTTCTGCAAAATGCTTCAGTAGCGTGTACAGTGGAGTCATTCTCTTGAGAAAGTTTGTTTTGCTTCTGTTCTGTGTTTCAAAGCTTCTTCAAAAATTTAACAAATAGCTGTCGAACTGAGATTTCCTCTCCCTCTGACCTTAACAAATCTCATGTGTGAAATAGACTGAAATTTTCCTGTTGCTGTAAGCTAAGAAAATGCTGCCGTGTGCCAAGAGCAGTGGCTGTTTTGAAATGCACTTGGTAGCACTTCATTTTTCTGTCACGGGTCTCCTTTTGTAGAAGCTGTAACATTGCCTTCTTCAATTTATAAAATGCCATTCCTCACAGACTAACTGTATCCTGGTTCTGCAATTTACATTTACCCACCTGGCAAAGGAGAGGTGGGATTCTTTTCGTTTGACTTGTCAGAATATTATTTTCCTAGTCTGAGCTAGTTTCTTAGGAGATCCAATGAATGGGAGAATTCTGCAGAAGGAAAGTGGTTCCCCCCTCCCTCTTGTAGCGCTGGGGCTATAGCAGAGTAGTGTAAACTAGATGCCTGTGGTTGAGAAGGCTGATGTGGAGTGAGAAGGATTCCATCTCCTATCTTCATTGGGTAACATGCAAAACATAGAAAAGTTTTCATATACCCGTCTGTAACATCATTCTTTATCCTTCCCTCCCCTCCACCCCTTCCAGGGAAGCTTATGGTAAAGGAAAGAAGGAGAAGCCTCCTTTTTTACCAGAGGAGCCGTCCTCCTGCTCCTCAGATGATCCCGTTCCTGAGGAGTTGTTATGTCCTATCTGTAAAGAAATAATGACTGATGCAGCTGTTATTCCCTGCTGTGGAAACAGTTACTGTGATGAATGTAATTGTTACTCCCGTGTTTGTTAATTCAGAGCATCACATCTGATCTTCTGAAAGCAGAAATAGGAGATAAGGAAATTAGGTTGTTACCAGTTCTATTTAATTTTAAGTATTAAATTAAGTACTCTTCTCACAGAAAGGAGAAAAAAAAACAAAGCAGAAAGCTTTTTTCACTTTTTACGTATCTGGTTAAATTCTCTTTAAATGTAGAAGGACAAGTCTGAGAAGACTGCTTAATTGTGCAGGTGATTACAGTATCAGTGAAGGCATTTCAGTTTTCCTTTTCTCTCATACAAAAGGAGACAGCCAGCTGGTGGCTTACTGTGATCTGCAATCAGTGGATCGTCAGGTGTTTAGTGCCATTCTTCATAGCGGTTGGTTAGAATCTTCAGAACTCAAACTAATGTTTTTTTGAGATGTGTTTATTCATAAAGTTGGTGGACAAAAGACTAGTCGAAACATCAAAACACAGCCTACTTTACATCTTCATAAGTTACAATAGTGAAATATCAAAACTGCAGTTATTTGTGACGTACTAGAAATTTTTTACACTGTTGTATATTTATAGCTTCATGCTCTCGATTCAAGACCATATTCACCATTGATCATATATGGTTTTAAAATTTATTAGAACCCAAAAGATTTTCTTAGTTGGGCTAAAAACTATTTTGATGATTCTAATTATTCACAGGTATTAGAACGGCACTACTGGAATCTGAGGCACGCACATGCCTGACGTGTCATCAGACAGATGTTTCTCCTGATGCTTTAGTTGCCAACAGGTTCCTACGCCAGGTAATATGATGACTTTTATGGGAACGGTTTGTAAAAGAAGTCTATTTGTAAAAAGCTGAAAGGGAAGA